TTCTGGATTGAAAGATTTGCTCCAAATACTGCATCATGTTCAGTCTTTACATACAACTATAGTGGTCCAATTTTGACAAATATTTTGACCATGATCCAATCAAAACTGGGCAAATTGGTGAACATAAACATTGTATCCCTTCTTCTTATAATTCGATTGGTCTAAGAATCACCTCTTTTGGAGTTTTTTAGAAAGAGATATGGTTAAAATACTGAAACATATATGAATGAAGCTATCACCATACTTGCACTGATTTTCATCAAATGAGTCTTTTTCATCAATTTCCTACAAAAGCCATAAGAGAAATTAGCAATAACTACTCTTAAAGTAATTTAAAATAAAATAACCTATAATTTAACTAAAATAACTTAAATTAATCACTTAAAAAGTAATCAAACTTAAACTAAAAAAACACCTAAAATGCTAAATTCGAACCTAAAATCTCAAAGATCTAGCTACTTAAGCTCCCAAAATGAGTCAAAATAACTCTATATAATAGAGTTATCAGTGACCAAACCATCAAGCACTCAAAATCGACGATTAAAACCGACCTTCGAAACCAACATCGAATAACCAAGTCACTGTTACCACCGACGTTGGTTTCGATCTATTGCACGGTTGCAACCAACCGATGCTCTCTCTTAGTTTCAGCACTAAAATGGCATTTGGTACTTTACAATGCAATGTGATTACAGGTAATGTGATTGCAAGCAATGTCATTATAGGGAAAATAACATTACAATGTTTGGTATACAAGCAAAATAATGATTAAAATGCAGAGAAGATAACATTGCAGTGTTTGGTTTATAAGTACTTTGCTGGGAATGTAATGTTAATTTTTAAAATTACCTTTAGTTATTAAAATATAAGTTTAATATATTTATATTTTTTATTATTAATTTTTATATAATATCATCTGTTAAATATATTTTTAATGTCATATATTTTATTTTCATTTATTATTATAATTTTATATTTTATATTTTTATTTTTTAATATAATTTTTTATTATATATTTTATTTTAATTTATTTTACCTATATTATATAAATTTTAATTTTTTATATTTTATTTTATTTTAATTTTTTGATTCTTATATTATATATTTTATTTTAATATTTTTATTTTAATTATAACATTATAAAATATTTTTAATAAGGTAATAAAGTTGAAGGGTAAAAATATCTTTAAGAACATTACAGAGTGCAATGTAATGTGATTGCATTGGTTTTAGACTGCAATCACATTACATTCATTTGCTGTAATATGATTGCTTTGCAATCTTACATTGCAATGGTCTGTTACAAAATAAACACTGTAATGTAATTTAATTGAACACATTATAAGGAATGTGCTCTCACTTCCCTCATACCAAATGCTACCTAAATGTTACATGTTAAAGTTTCTTTCTTCCTACTGATATTATATGCCAAGACAAGAATTACTTTGTTACGTGCTGAGGCATATCTTCACTAGATTTGAATCACTAAAAACTCAATACCAATAAACCTAAGAATATATTGTTATTCGCTATGCCATACTCTTTGGTTTATAGATTGAAAATGATATGGCAAATGTGAGAAATAGACAGAGAGAGAATTTTGTAAATATAAACCAATAAACTCAAAACATGTTGTTACCTGTTATGTCTTACTCTTTGGTTTATAAATCGACGATGATATGACGAGGTAACGAAAAATAGGCAATGAGAGATATATGATGGTGGTAAAATTAAATAGAGCTGAATGATGAGAGGGAAAAATGGAAAACACAACAGACGGACGGTGAAAGAGAGATATTAAGAGCATTTAATTTATCTAAAATGATTTTAAAGGTATTGTCGTCCAATCATAACAAAAGTTGAGTAAAAATAGTTAATTTATATTGAAAGTTATTTTTGAAATAAACTTATCAGGTTGGCTATTTATCACAATTTACACAATTTTTTTATATGTATTTGGAATATTAACAAAAAGATGTACTTCACTTAAAAAAAAAACTTGTTTTTCTTCATTATTAACAACTAGATATGTTTCACCAATGAATAAATGCAAACATATACTTGCTATTTTTATGAAGTTAGTGAATAAAGATCAGTTTTACAAAAATTTCTAATGTACAATTACTGCATTTTGTCCTTTTTTTATTTTGATAAATTGATTTTTTATCAAAATATGTTATTGCAAATAATAATGTTTTTATAAATAATATTAATAAAGAGAACATTAGATAATTTTTTATTTTAATTTTGATCACTTTTATTAGAAAATAGTTTGGTGGGTTGAATTTAAGATTATGTATATAGATATCTTTCATAAAATGATATTTTTTGTTGATTCATTTTGTCACTATTGGTAAACAATTATTTATGATAATATTGTTTATTAAATAAACTTAAATTATTAACTTTTTGTATAATATATAATAATATTATTATGTGTATATAAAAAATTAATTGAATATAAAAATCACCGCATTAAAAAATCAAATTCAATATAAAAAAATCAAAGTAAGATTTAATAACTATAACGTCGGTTCGGGACGCGTGGAATGTCCCAAGCTTAAAACCGGGCCACGCTGTCCGCGACGTGGAAGTTGACTCACTGGAAGAAAGTGAGAAACGGGAAAGAATAAGGGGAAAGGAGCGCCAAATTTCAAGGGCCATCACGGGCTTTTCAAAAACCCTAGGTAGCGGCTGCACTCGGACGGTTGGAAACTGAGAAGAAGAAATGGACTTTTCTCAGTCCGACTTCGATCGCCTATTAGTCGCCGAGCACACTCGAAAAACCTCTGAACTTAACTACGCCAAGGACCCTCTTGACGCGGAGGTTTCTATTCTTTCTTTTCCTTTTTTTTTTTTCTGGTAAAGCATTGCAAAATACGTACTCAACTGTATTATACGGTTAACTTTCTCGTTGATTGCTTTATTGATTTTTCTTTTTGAATCTTCTTAGTATTTTCTTTGTTTACGGTTACCTTCCTCTGTTGATCAGTTTTTAAATGAAATTTTGTTATCCTAGTGTTAATTTTGGTTGGACAGTTATTTATTTTCTTTAAATTTCATATTGTATATTTGCATAAAATGGTTGCAGAATTTAACCAAATGGGGAGGAGCATTGCTCGAATTAGCTCAATTTCAGACTGTTTCAGATGCAAAGAAGATGATAAATGGTATTCTATCTTTTTCTTGAATTATTCCTATGTTAATTTCTCTCTCTCTCTCTCTCTCGGCTAATGCAATGAGAATTGGCCTCATAGATGCAATTTCGAAATTGGATGAGGCTTTGATGATAAGTCCCTCCAAGCACGAAACTTTGTGGTGCATGGGAAATGCTCATTCCACTTCCGCATTTATGACTACCAATCTTGATGAGGCAAAGGTTTCCTTTGATAAGGCAGCTCAGTTTTTCCAAAGAGCAGTGGATGCGGTAACTTATTCAAAATTTCAAGTATTTTTCTTAGAAATTTCATATTCAAATGCTTTAGAAGCTAACTTTGGGGATTGCTTTTGGTAGGATCCGGGCAATGAGCTATATCAAAAGTCTTTAGAAGTTGCAGCTAAGGTATATACTTGCTTTTTCTTGTTTTACTTCTAGTTGAGAATTTCGCTTTCATTTATCCAAAAAGAATGAAATTTTCTTTCACAGGAAAAAGATTTGTGCTTGTGTGTAAATAAACCTCAGAAAATTGTCCATATAAAACTGCAGGTCTTTTAAGTTTTAGCATTGCAGCTGCTAATCATTTTGAAATAAACTTAGATGATGTGGTAATCTAGTCTTAACTTTGTAGAAGCAAGTTGCTTCATCATTGATAAGGTTATGGCTAGTGTAGAATTACGTAGTATGATTTTTTTTAGTTGCTATAGCAGGTAATAGTGTTCTGTGCTTGATAAGTTTAGCACAGATTGGTTTTGTGCTTTTGTTTTGCCTACATTAGTTTGGTTTTAATTTTTAATTCCCTTTTATGTGGAATGGCTGTGTTAATTTTCTTGGGAAAGAGTAGAAAGATTATCTAAATCAGTGTGGGCTGAGAAATGTGTTCATGCTGATGCCACAGGCTTGGAGACAACTATTCATGATATATGCTATGATTTGTCTAAGCTTTTAAGGATATCTTTTTTATTTGATGACTGATATTTTCCAATGATTTTGCTTGTCTTCTTAGGCTCCAGAGCTGCATATGGAGTTCCAGAAGGCTGCAGCTGGTCAACAGACTATGGCTGGGTCGCCTTCTTCTTCCTCAACTGCAAATGTGAGATTTCTTTTGTCATTTTTGTCTTTGACTCCCAAACCTTCCCTTCCTCACTTATTCATCCAATTCCTTTCTGTTTGTTGCCATACTTCTTTTTTCGGTGGAAGTGCTTGTATTCAATATCCTTTCTTATTACATGATCTGAGTTTTTTATGTGATTGTCTTTTAGAGATTCTTTATTCCAAAAATTATTTTATGCTTCTTCTTTATATTTCTTAGTTTCCATCATTTTGTTTCCCAGGTGAGTGGTTCCTTTCAATGATCTAGTTAGATTGTTGTGCATTTACTGCATTATATGCATAAGTTCATGTATGTATCTGTTAGATGAAGATAGTGAAATGATTCAGATATTGATATGTAAGCCTTAATTATTATTTTAATGGATTCAACCTGTTTATTTATGTTCTCCTATCATTGACTAAAATAAATAGTTCCACATGAGTGTGAGAAGGCATCCAATTCATGTGTGCAATGGACATATTCTGCATCGTAACTGATCCATGAGGCATGATTGCCTTTCCATCATGGGACCATATCTATAATAGGATGTGATTTATCTTCTCAACTGTTAAATTTCTGAAGATTGTTCTTGTTTTAGACTGTATATCAAATAGACTCTCTTTTTCTCTCTGAAATCTTTCCTTTGTTTGCAAAAACAATCTTCTGGTTAGGGTTTCTTTTTTCCTTTTATTGTAATGGAAGTTTAAAGGCTTGGCTTTGCATGGGCCTGTTCCATCCAGGGGCAGGCAATATTTTCCTGTGAAGATAAACTGTCATTTTGTTGACATAAATGTTCATTAGGATTTGATCATGGCTTTGTGAGGTTTAGGTAATGAAAATGGGGCTGCTTAGCAGGTCTGGATTCTACTTGAAGAAACTGTAGTTGACAAAAAAAAAAACGTTTTCTAGGCTTCATTCAGTTTTTTCAGACATCACGATCACGAGTGATTGATTTGTTAATTGATTAGAAAGATATAATTGCTGGAAGTTGTTCTAATTGTTTCTTCAATTAATGAATGCAATAAAATAATTATGGATGGGTTCCCTATAGTTCTAAGCTCAAAAGAATTTTACTTGCATTCGATAAAGCCCCCTACAACCTGGCTTGAATATACATAAGATTCAGTATGGTTTATTATGATTCTTTAGGCTCCCAACCAAGCCTCCCGTTATTTAGATACGCAAATAAGGCTTAGTCATTACAACCACTCTTAACACATAAATGCTGTTGGAGTTTGGAGGCCGCTCATGAATGCTATGCTCTCCCCATCAACTAATAAATACCAGTCGATCACTGATGTGTTGTACAACCAAACTGCTATCTGCAAAGTCAGCAAATTATCTGTTCAACTTCAGATTTCAAGCATTAAAAGAAAAAATAATTTATGCTGTATTATATTAGCTTTGTGAGCATTGTTTTGCTTAAATTTCTTTAACAAAGTGGGACTGAAAATGAACTGAATCTGAGTATTTCACAAGTCTTAACTTTTCCTCCCTCCCCCTTCTTACACCTTAGGGTGAACCATGTAACATTGTCCTGACATTAGCCATTAATATGGAGGAACCTTTGGTGCAACATAGATTTTTAATTGATACCTAAATTGTCTGTGAACACTTCACTCTAAGTTCAGAAGATCCTTGCTGATTTATTTGTTTTATATCCAGGCTGGCAAGAAGAAGAAGAAGAGCAGTGATTTAAAGTATGACATATTTGGATGGATAATCCTTGCTGTTGGAATTGTTGCATGGGTGGGAATGGCGAAATCCAATGTTCCTCCACCTCCTCCAAGATAAAATGTTTGCTTCAATAATTCTTGAGGTAACCATTCTGGTAATTTTGGTGGAAGTTTAATATTTGTTCTTTAGAAGGTTCAACTGGTGCAATGTAGTAAATTGGAGCAAGCGGCTTGTTGTCATATTTTGATTTTGTTAGTATTTTCTTTTCCCTTGCTATTATTACAATTTGATTAGGATGGTTATCTTGGATATGATTTTGAATTTAATCATTGAATAGATATAATAAGTATTTTGTTTTGTCTTTGCCCTTTCCTTGTTAACATGTTTCTGTAGTCAGTTTAGCATGCTTCTTTCTTGACCTTTAATCATTTCATTAATGGAGAGATATACTGTTTTTTTAAAATATTTCAGCAACTGTACTGGGCTGCTGCAAGACACAGTGCAAATATCTTTTTTATCATTTGATTGTTTCTATGCTCTGTTACTCCAGTGTGAATATTACGGAAATTGGTGACCACTGGATGATTTTGCGAAGAATGATGGATCATTGTATAAAAAGTTGACCCATATAGAAAGAGCACATATCTTTAACTATTGAAGAGAGTTAATAGTGCAAAAGTGAATTGGTCCAAGGCCATTGTCTTGAAAATAAAGTGTTTCTTTTATGTAAATTTTCTTTTGATCTTTTCTTGTATTTGTCATGGGCTTCCACTTTCATTCTTCCAGCTTATAGTTTAGGCTAGTTTTAAGAAATTAGTACATAAGGTGAACTGCTCAAGTCTCTTGGGCAGTTACTTGGTCCCAATGAGTTCAGCCAGCAGCAGTAATGGCTATTTTAATGATTTATTTAAATATATTTTAATGCATTGACTCTTTTAGCTGTATGAAAGAGGGTAAGATTCATCTTACATTCAAGAATTTTTAACTTTTAATTAGACTTGAAGTTTTAGATCATGAGAATCCAGACCACTCCAACCCAGTACAACTGCGACCTTGATTGGATTGGGTTTGATTGGTTTTTACCATCTCTAAAACTGAATTTGAACTGGCATGGTCAGTTACAGGGATTTTAAGATGTCTGGTCCTGTTTTCATTGCTTCAATTAGCAACAGAAACATTTTCTGCTGAGTTTTTCATGGAAGCTGCAACTTGGGCATCCTGAATCGTGCAATTTCTTGTTGGGATTAATATATGCAATAATGTTTAGAAGATCATAGCCCTTTATTGTATGGTGAATATTACTTGTCAGAAAAGGTAAGGCAAAACAACAACAATAACAATATAGTCTATATGGATCATATTGCATAATTATGCTTTATAATGTGATTAATATTTTTAATGTTGATTGTGATTTGTAAGTGAAACATCCTGGATTTTCTGTCCCAAGTAAATACTTGAACTCCAAATGAGCCGAGAAGAACTTAAGGATCTCCAACTTGGCCAGCACCAGTCTTTTCAGTTTCTGGAATACCTAACAATGATATCAAATATTTTTTGAAGAAAAAGAAAGAAATTCTATGGGTGAATATATATGAGAAATATAGCTGATTTTTTTATTCTATTAAATTAAATTTAAATTAACTTATAATATAAATTATCTCTCCCTCTAGCCTATATTTGTGAATACCACTTCTATCCTTTCTAACCTTCTGCATTGTTGAAAGGAGGAAGCCTCATGGTCTTCTCAAAATGTACTTATTGGTGTTTTTGGCTTTCTTATGTTTGGTTATGTGGCCCTTTATATCTGATAATTGTGATCATCAATGGGAAAAGAGTCCCTTGATTTGCAGGGCTATACTTCTATTGTGAGTATGTTTCGTTTGCTTCTTCTCAAAATGGCTTGAACCATATCTCATTAAATGTTGATTAAAGCATTTTGCTTCATGAATATTAAATTGATTTCTTTCCGACCACATGCATTCTGAACATGAGAAAAACATGGTTGGCAAACTTTGCTTCATATTGTTTTGCTGGCAAAATTTGCTTCATATAGTTTTGCAAAATCATTGATAACGGTCCTCTTTATAATGCCTTGTATGTGTCCCTTCTTGACTGAACTGACTTTCTTTGGTCTGCAAACTTGTAAACAGTTTGAATCAGAAGTAGCTAAGCCTGTTGCTTAATTCCATTTTTGTTTGACTATTTTTTTCTTTCCTAACAGAGTTCCGTTGACCATAAGATTTTCTCTGTATTGACTAACAAGGTTATCTTTGTTAGCTCTTTTAGTTTTCTAGTTTTACTAGTTTCTTTAGCGCATATCTAGTATTTGCTCCACCAAAATAAGTGGAGTTGTCAATCTTTATCAGCGTTCACTGTTGGAGGATACCTTTTTGTGGTCTTTGCCCAGCCTCTAGCCTCCCTTCAGGTGGCATCCAGCATATATCTTTCCTTGTTAGGATCGACACGTAGTTCCCTCGTGCATTTGATATTATATTACAATCATTAAGTGACTCTAGGCATCTCTGGACCCTTGGGACCATTTCTCATCCTACATGTTGTCTTACCTTAAAAGATCCACATTTTTTGTCCTCTGTTTATTATGCCTTTGTAACCCAAGAAAAATGAATGTGCTTTATTTTGACCTTCAGGAGCATTGGAAGGGTTATGAGCCATGTCCTTTGAAACCCTTAGAGTATCTGAATGCCCACATTTTGAATGAACTTTGCTAATTATTCATGTAGGTTACAGGCTTTCTATGATGTGCAGGCTACATGTCTACAGCTGTTTCTAGTTTTATTTGAGCATTGATATTGTCATTGGTACAAAGAGGGATTTGACTTGGCCAGTTATGATGTTGGTTTGGCCATCTGCAGGTTCTAAAGTTCTGACCAGTGACGTTCTCTAAATTTGGGAGTTGGTTGTTTATTGTATTGTTAGTATGTGCAACTTGGGTCTAATTAAAGAAGTTTTCAGTTGGATATAGAGTTTATCTTTTGCTAAATTTGGTCCCCCACCACTTTCTCCGGGCCAATTTGTGCTGTACGCCTTGCTATTAGAGGAAACAAATCTTACCAGGCAAATTTGTGGGAGTGGCTTGATGTGTGGAAGTTGGGAGGTACCATGATGATATTAAATTAGTAAAAGCTAACAAAGCATTCCACTTTGTTTAGCGTCCCACTTTGGTTAGCTTTTTGGGCTCAACGATGCGCCCAGAAGGGTCTGCTATTAGAATATTTTTATCTGCCGCGAAGATATCTTGATTGTTTATTTGTTCCAAATAAATCATCTTTAATTGGTTCTTTTGCTAAAATCAGGATTTTGGTTAATGGCTTTTCGTCAAAGATTTGTTTTAGGTTTGTGTGCTTCTTTCTCCAGTAGATACTAAGCTATTCTAATTTTGCAAGGGGGTGAGTGGCTGTTTCATTTTCTTTGTAGCCAATCAGTTAGCAAAGCAGCATATTCTTAGAATACTTAGCATTAGTAGATGCTGTGCCTGGGAAGCCCATTTACTAGTGGTGTTGAATTAAATATTTGCAGAACCCCAATCCCAGTATTACTGATTGGTTGGGGAGACAGCATCATGGAAAAACTGTTGGATATGTGCACATTCCTTAATGTTGGTTTTGGCTGAGATTCTAGGATTAGTGGGATGTTTTCTGACTAAAGAATTTGATTCATCTCTTTTGGTGTACGTGGATGGTGTGCCGCCAGGTATATATTGGATGGCAGCTGCAGTTTGTGTACAAAGCCAGGGTTGCTTAATAGTTAATTTCCATTCTCTTGGAGCCTGTAAGGGTGATGGGTGTTGTGAAGCCTACACATCCCTTGCGTTTTAGATGGAGTAACGGGTGCTGTCCCTCTGAGTGAGACGTAGAGCATTAAAAGCACCATAGGAGAATTTAAATAGAAATAACAATGTTTGGTGCTTACATCAGCTCATAAATTATAGAGATTCTGGTGTATTGTCAGTGTTAAAAGGCTATGCAATCTATCAAACTTCAATATGTAACTGTTAAAAATTGAATTAATCGAATTCATTTAACAAATTCATCGAATCATTTCAATTACACTGTTGAAAATTGAAATACTACAATCCAAATATACTTTTGAACCTGTTAAAAATCGAAATACTACGATTGGTTGGTTGATTTAGCAAAATCAATTTTTTAAAAA